CCATCTACTTACCATGTTTAGATGTCAGTTCTGATATTTATATATGAGGTATTTACCTACCATTTACCTAACATGTTTGTATGTTAGTTCTGTTATACATATGAGGTATTTACCTACCATCTACCTACCATGTTTAAATGTCAGTTCTGTTATATATATATGAGGTATTTACCTACCATCTACTTACCATGTTTAGATGTCAGTTCTGATATATATATATATGAGGTATTTACCTACCTTTTACCTAACATGTTCGTATGTCAGTTCTGTTATACATATGAGGTATTTACCTACCATGTTTGTATGTCAGTTCTGTTATATATATGAGGTATTTACCTACAAGTTTACCTACCATGTTTGGATGTCAGTTCAGGAAGCACGTGTATCGTCGCCACGTACAGAAACGTTCCGGCGGAGAATAGCAGCGCCTGTGGCAACAGCGCAGTAAAAATTGGGGCAAAGGATAGGCACGTCAGTAAGCCAGACGGTGGTAGTGATGTATACACGCAACAAAATGATACCGAACTTCTACTCAGAGATAAATATATTTGCAGAACCCCTGTGGGAAAATAGCGCAGTAAGAATTGGGGTATAGGATAGACACGTCAGTAACCCAGACGGTGGCAGTGAGGTATACACGCAACAAGATGGTACCGAACTTCTACTGATTGCAGAACCCCTTTGGGAAAATAGCGCAGTAAGAATTGGGGCAAAGGATAGGCACGTCAGTTAAAGCCAGACGATAGTAGTGAGGTATACATACAACAAAATGGTACCGAACTTCTACTCAGCGATGAAGATATTCGCAGAACCCCTGTGGGCAAAAGCTTAATATACCTCTATCAGCCCTATATACAGTATACTATGGATATGCACACATTCATATATCCACGTGTGTGTGTGTGTGTGTGTTATGCACCGTTCGCGTGCATTCGAGAGCTCTACTCATATGATATGAGAGTGGCACACGGCGATGGAACGACACTTCACATCATACGTCAACGGTTGCACCGCAACTTCATAGAGGAGTCAAATAGAGCCCTTCAGCAAGACATTGATAAGATACACCAAGCTATCATGCACCCAGAGACACACCATCACAAAGACTGTACTATATCCCATATAGATGGTACTGTGATGCTATGCACTAAGATAACCCGTGCACCGCAACATTATAGAGGAGACAAATATAGCCCTTCAGCAAGATACTGATAAGATACACCAAGCTAATATGCACCCAGAGACACACCATTGCAAAGACTGTACTATATCCCATATAGAAGGTACTATGATACTATGCACCAAGATAACCCGTACACCGCAACTTCATAGAGGGGACAAATAGAGCTCTTCAGCATACGTGCGCCATACAGCCGGATACTGATAAGATACACGAAGCTATCATGCACCCAGATACCACTGCACATACTGTACTACACCCCACGGGTATGCTACTGTGCTACTATGCACTAAGACAACATTACAAAACGATACACAACCTAACCTAAAGCACACACCCTTCTATCTATTCCCAAACACACATCCTTCAACAAGGTCGAGGGTTTAGGGTTTAAGGTTTAGCTGAGTCAATACACTATCACTCACCAGTCCAATGATCGATGAACTGGTCTGTTGTGTGGCTTCGGCACCATGTGCATCGTGCGCATGATCATGCTGGCTCTCAGACACTCCCTGGATAGGTTAAATGCAATAACATATCAGATAGGAACATAAATACAAAATTTCATACAATAGGCATATATAGAGTGCGACACGATAACATACCAGTTAGAAACACAAATACAGATTTTAATACAATAGGTATATATAGGGGGCAATGCAATAACACATCAGTTGGGAAAATAACACAGTCTCGTACAGGGTAGGTATATATGACGTGAGATGCGATAGTATACCAGATAGGAACATAACAGTTGATCCAACAGAGGGTAGGTATAGTGTGGTATGCGATAACATGTCATTTAGGAACATAGTACTGGGATCTGACACAGGGTAGGTATAGTGTGTGATGCAAAAACATGTCAGTGAGGGACATGGTTCTCGGATCCAACACGCAAAGTATATATAGTGTGGGATGCAATAACATATCAGTTAGGGACATAGTTCTGGGATCTAACGCAGGGTAGGTATAGTGTGGGATGCAATAACATGCCAGTTAGGAACACAAAACAAAGTCTAGCACGTATAACTATCTATACTAAAAACTTAGTATTGAACAACTTGGCACGGTTTGATTACCTGAGGAATGGCCGCTCCGTTCGCATCACCCTCTATTAACTTTAAAGTATCGCTGAACCCGAAACCTACGAGCGGTCGATATATTGGTGTGTTAAGAGTGTTTGCGACATCCAGGGAATTTACAACATATGCGAGAGAATTTGCGACATGTATTTGTCCTTGAAGGACTGTATTCCTTCGGTAGCTTAGCAAGGTGTATACATATGATGGGTGAAGTATTTCCGACCAGTGAGCAGTTTGAGACATGCGAGGTAAAGGCAAACAAACCACATCATCTTGAATGAGTCAAACATGTTTTGTGGTGGGAACATCGGCGCCCGCCTAATTGGAGTTTCCTCAAAGTCGTGTGTAGATACTCCAAATATACCCACAGAAGATCAATAAATCTTGGTATCAACAATGCATTGTTCACATAGATAAACACATGATTGAATTCTTTACTTTATATGTGAAGTTAGAAAGTAATTGTGCAGATGACATTTGTCTTAGAAGTACATTGACATTGTCCACATAGGTTAGTGCACACATGATTGAATCCTTTACTTTATATGTGAATGTGAAATCGGAAAGTGTTGAACCTCCATGTCATTTGTTTTAGAAGTACTTTGATATTGTCCACATAGATTGACATGATTGAATTCTTTACTTTATATGTGAATGTGAAGTCGGAAAGTTTTGAACATGCAGATGTCATCTGTCTTAGAAGTACATGGATATTGTCCACATATATTAACATGATTGAATTCTTTACTTTATATGTGAATGTGAAGTCGGAAAGTGTTGAACATGCAGATGTCATTTGTCTTAGCAGAAGTACAGTGGATACGGATTCTCGCTACAGCACAAACAACACTACAGATAAACCGCGTGCCTCCCCTTTTGTGGGTTTAGGAGTTTAGTCCATTTTAAGGTTTTAGGGTAATAAAGGTCTAGTCCAGTTTAGGGTGTTAGGGTTATAGGGTGTTAGTCCACTCTCCAGTATGATCGTTGTTCAAAATGCGCCACTACCACTGACAACAAACGCATTTGACGCGCACACTCCTGTCGCCGCCCAGTTTTAACTATAGCAAACCCTAAACCCTAAACCCTAAGCCCGAAAACTCAATATGTTTTAAATACACATAGATGTATTATAACAAGTTTTTGTATATGTTTGTATTTGCAGCTTGGGGTTGAAACGCGCCTAATTGTGTGTGCGTGTATGTAGATTGTACGTTCTGATATATACGGTTTGCATACAGCCATGTACACTACTAAGTATTTGGCATAACATAACTAACTACACATAAAAGACAGTCAGCACAGGTATGTAGATTGTACGTTCAGATGTATACGGTATGTATACAGCCATGTACACTACTAAGTATGTGGCATAAGATGGGCTATCTTCACATAAAAGACACTCAACCCAGGTATGTAGATTGTACATTCTGATGAACACGGGATGTATACAGCCATGTCTACGACGAAGTATGTAGCATAACATAACTAACTCCACATAAAAGACACTCAACACATACCCGGGCCCAGTTCCGTACTTGCATCCAGAGACGTTGTGACTTTGATGAGTACGAAAGTCACAATAGCCATGACAGGAGCGGCAAACGAGAAGGCTAACAGGTACTCCTTCACCTTTCTAGGGTCAGAGTATTGGCAGTAGAATGGTAGTAAAGTGTATTTAAATAGTTAGGGTTTATTAAATAGTTAGGGTTTATTATCTAGAGTTAGGGTTTTGAGGTAGACACGAATGCAGTTTAACTAGGGCTTGTATGTACGTACTATTCAAACAAGCGCTGTGTTAGCTTTGAAGCTGGGAGTTTGTGTGGCAACGTAGGGAGATATCTCTAGAGTCAATTGATGGAGACTCAAGAACACAGCCAATTGAATATCAAGTAATGTCACATAGATATGAAGTCACGGTAGCACAACTCTGATGCCAAAACCCTAAAAAGGACAACAGGTTATTGGGTCACTTAAGTGGGTTGGATTTGACGTCAGTCGCACGGAGTTCCTCGCAACCTTTCACATGTTAATCGCCAATATAAACAATAAACAATATAAACAGTATAAACAATATAAACAATATACATATATACATTTATATATAAATATTTATACATATACATATATATATAAATATATACATATATATATGTGTGTGTGTGTGTGTTTTTGTGTGTTTATGTATGTGTGTGTATGCATGTGTGTGCGCATGTGTGTGTTCGTGTGTCTGTGCGCCTATATATATATATATATATATATATATATATATATAAACAAGTACACTGCAGAGAGGACATTCCTCATTTAATATTTGAGACACTACCCAATATTCCCACTCCGCCTTCTGGGGTTTGCTTAGAATACTCTAACGCTCCATCCCCAGCACATACATGTACTACATCATATTGTTCTAGCCGAGAGAAAAGAAGCGTCTAGGCCTATATTGGCTGGGCAGATAAGTGTATAAGAATGGCGTACTTACACGCCATACAACCACTGTCCGTTGTTTGATGTGGCACTCAATTCGACATGACACACACACACATATATACATACACACACACACACACACACACACATATATATATACACATATACATATACATATACATATACATACACACATACATACAAATACAAATACAAATACAAACAAAGATATATATATATATATACATCTATTTATCCTACCCACCGTTTGTCCAAACCCTCCGATAGTAAGAAGGCTACTAGGCCAAACGCGGCCGGCCCTTTGTGCAGCATAATAGCAGCAAACACGAGCAGCTCCACCGAACTATTCCCCGCAGCCGAGGCAGCACCCATAGCAAAGCCATCCGCTGGTGAGTAGATACAGATATGGCATAAAGTAATTCATGTATCGAATTTTGAGAAGAAATAAAATATCTGTACATACACGAACAAAACACACACAGACACAGACACAGACAGAGACACAGACACACACACAGACAGAGACACAGACACACACATAATGTATATATATATATATATATATACACATATATAAATACATATATAAATATACCTACTTAAATACACAAATACATAAATAAATACATACATACACACACACATACACACACAACACAATATATACTATATATATATACTATAATAATAATACTACTAACTTAATAACACAATAAATAAATAATAACATACTAACA